TTCATCCAGTTTTCTGTCTATGGACGTTTAGGTTGCGTCCATATCTTGGCTATTTTAAATAGTGCTTCTATGAACATTGGGGTGCATGTATCTTTTCAAATGGAGTTTTTATCTTTTCTGGCTATATACCCAGGCATGGGATTGCTGGATCAAATGGTAACTCTATTTTTGTATTTTAAGGATTCTGTTTTCCACAGTGGCTGCACCAAATTGCATTCCCACCAACAGGGTAGGAGGGTTCCCCTTTCTCCACACCCTCTCCACATTTATCATTTGTGGCCAGTTCAGTGTTCTTCACTGAACTTAGCTGCCATGGAGGAAATCTGATTTGCAGCCCAGCAGAGGGGAAAGGGAATCTCAGGCGTGGAAGCAGCCAGTGCCTCCTAACTGCCATGGAATTCAGCTGAGGGCCACGGACCTCAGCTCAGCTCCTGACACCAACACATCGTTAAGCTGCTCAGAGCCCTGCCCTGGGACATATTTGACCAAGGCTTATCTCTGGGTGCCCCCAGCTCCATATCTGCTCCTGGTCAGAGAATGGGAAGGAAAGGGGTCATTATGGGGTCAAATGAGGAGGAAAAGGGCATGGCGTGGGAAGTAGAAGGTGCGGGTGCTGAATGTGAACTGGGAGCAGAGTGGGAAGAGGGATGAAGAGAGGGAAGGGGGATGGGAGTAAGCAGAGAAAATTCAGGAACATCTTCTCAGGTTTTTGAAGAAAACGTCATGTCAGGAAGGACTTGGTAATTACTGTCATTTGTGGGATGTTTTAGTCCAAGAGAACCAAATAATTATGATATCATGAGCTCAGTGCCTTCCTCTAAATCAGTATCCAGTCATGAAACGTATATGGCTTACGTGTTCTCGGGAGCTTCCCCTGCCTTAGTCCCACCACGGGCTGCACAACAAAGCCCTTTGGGGAATAGAAATTTCTTCCTGTGTGGTTATGTCAATCAAACAGGACTTCACGTGTATCTACGTGGACCCTGGGTGGTGCCAGGTTTCCAGGGAGCGTGGGGCCCCCGAAACCCAGAACTGGGAAGAAACAAATTGTTTAGGTCAACCTTCTATCAACTGTATCCCTCCAAGCAAGCATCAGTCTTGGCTTGGATGCCTCTAGTGGTGGGGAGCTCATGACATGCAGGGAGCAGGGAGTGGTACCACATGAAAACTCTTAGGAAGAAAAGAGGCCTTTTTTTTAACTTCTGAGAGTGAAGTCATTCCATACCCGGGGCCATGAAGGCAATGTTTATCTAGGCAAGAGTTTGGCTCTCTAGTCAGAAAACTAAGCTTTGAATTCTACCTCTGCCATATTCTAGCTGTGTGACCTTGGACATGTCACCTTGCCTCTTTGAGTCTCAGTTGCCTCTTCTACAAAGTAGAGACAGTGTTCCCTAAACCTCCAGCAGACGGTTATGGTCAGCAATAAAGAAAGCACATGGTGAAATGGGATGTAAAGAATTGCTATCATTTCACCTATTTTTCACAATATTGGGATTGAAATGGGACCTAAGAAATCAGAATCAAACTGGTTTGTTTCCCAGTGCCAATATATAAGTAGTTTATAATGTCCCAATGTCCCTGTCTATAAAAACATGCTAACAGACAGAGGAAGTAGCAGGAAGAGGTTAGGAATTGGGGAGATGCTTACATCCAGATTTTGTTCACTCGTCTTCATCAGTGCACAACACAGCATCGCTCACTGCGTTCACATCTCTAGCTTTCTCCCCATCTCCCCTCAGGTGCCGTAACCGTGGATATAACTTAGGAACAGCCAGATAGAAGAGACGCACAGGGCCAGCCAGATATGTGGGAAAGGGCGCAGAGCCTCTGTGCCCTCTCTGGGAGCACCGCTATCCCGGCATGTCAACCTGGAAGCTCTCTGACCCACTTCCTTGGGATTTTATGAAGGCTTCATTACAAAGGCACGATTGATTAGATCATTGGCCACCGGTGACAGAACTCAATCTCCAGCCCCTTTCTCCTCTCCAGAGGTCTTGAGGTGGGACTGAAAGTTCCAGTCCTCTAATCACAGGGTGGCTCTCCTAGCAACCACCCCCCTTCCTTAGGTATTTCCCAGGAGTCACTTCACTGACATAAAAGCCACCTTTTCAAGCTCTCAATACTTAAGCCGTTCCAAGGGTTTTAGGAACACCATGCCAGGTTGAAGACCAAATATTTGTGACCTTATTTTGAAAGAGGGTCTTTGCATATGTAATCAATTTAAGGTGAATTATGAGTCATGCCGGATCCTAATCCAATATAATTGGTGTCCTTATAAGGCTCGTGTCACCATTTCCACCCTCACCTCCCAATGCCAGGATGGGGGACTCTTCTAGGAAAGGCTTCTAACACTGGCTTCTCTCCTTCTTCTGTCCAAGTCATCCAACCACTCTGAGTTGACATGTAAGTCTATAAACTGGACATAACAGAACAGAAACTATATAAGGATGTTGTCAGATGCCTTGAAGATCGTAAATGTGAAAATTCTCAAGACTCGTTTTGTTTTTGTTATCATTATAGCCTTGTCAGTCTATCCGTGTATGATCAACTTTGGCATCTCTCAAAATTGAAACAAAACCCCAGTGACATGTACAACTATGTCCCATAAGACCACAACCTTCTCAGCAATTCATTTGCCGCTGGATATTTAACTGATTGCAGAGCTCCCTAAAAATAATTTATTATAAACAGAGCCTCTAAGGAAATCATTCCCTTGTTTTGCTTTGTACGAAATAGCCAGGGAGATAAAAGTAACAAATAGCCCCTTTTACCCACAGAAGATTCTCTTGACTCAAGAGGAGCAAAGTAAAATGTCCTTCCCAGATTTGGCGTTAACATGCGTGGCTATGCATCCGTTATTGAACCGGTCTCCAAAGCTCATCAGGCATCTGTCGACACCCTTGCTGAAATCAAACATGTAAACTCACAGGCATTAGTCCAGATAAACACCACCTGCCTCTTCATTTTCTAAGATAGCTTTTTAATCCATCCAAGTTGGAAATGTTCTTCCTAGACACCAAATTGCTTCTTGAGAAACAGTGTTTGTGATGCAAGCGGAGTCCCCTTCCCATCCCAGCCCATTGCTTTGACAGGTGTTAATTACACTCTTGATCAAAGAGAAACATCTGCACCCTTCAGCATGGGAGGCGGTGGCAATTTGCAGCTCAGCAGGCAGTGGATGGGAAATTGCTGGAGACACTTGCTGGCCACGTGGGAGCCATCGCTGGGGCTCCCCATCCCTGGGGCTCCCACCCTTGGCAGATCAGCAGATCTCGTGTCCCTGGAAGGACAGGCTTCAGGAGGGAGCCCCCAGACTCACCAGCTTTCCTCCTCTCCATGTGCCATTTTTCCTTCTCTTTCCAGAGTCAGGTCTGCCGAATGGTCACCCTGCACAATCCTCAGCTGGCCATTCTGAACGTCTTTTCCCAGGTTTGTGGCATTCTCCTTTGGTGGCAGTACTAATGCTGACTTCACATGCTGTCTTTATTCATCCCACTTAGATTCTCTCCCTGGAAATACTCATGTGTTTGACTACAGGGTGCTGCCCTGACCTTGAGACCTCCTGGCCATGTTGTTCAGTGGATAGAATACAGGCTCTATAACCCTTTTTTTTTAATTTTGAAAAAATCTGATTCCAAAATACATCTGAGGAATTGCCCACTTGTACTCGGGTGACTTTTGACAACTGCCTTGACTTTCTCCAGACTCAGGTGAACCCTTCTCAGCCAGACAAGAACTTTCCTGATGTCCCCACAAGTCAGCTGTCTCCACCCCAAGTATTGCTCCTGGAGAGTAAGGATGAGATGGACACATCGGCTGTACCTCTTGCTGGCTGTGTCACTTAACCATGGGACTCGGTTTCCCATCTATCACATAGGGCCTCTACTTCCTAACCTCTAGTCTGGGGTGCTCCTAGGCTCTGAAACACCAACGATGAATCCCAGTGTTATGGACCACACCTGCTCCCCCAAATTGTATGTCCAAGTCCTAACCTCCAGTATGGCTGTATTTGGAGATGGGGCCTGTAAGAAAGTAATTAAGGTTAAATGAGACCTTAAGAGGGGGTCCCTGAAAATATTTGCAAATGATGTGAGTGACCAAGGTTTAATTTCCAGAATATATAAACAGCTCATACAACTCAATAACAACACAACAACAACAACAACAAAACCAATCCAAAAATGGGCAGAAGACCTAAACAAGCAATTCTCCAATGAAGGTACACAAATGGCCAACATGAAAAAATGCTCAGTATCACTAATTATCAGAGAAATGCAAATCAAAACTACAATGAAGACATCACTTCACACCAGTCAGAATGGGCATCATTCCAAAGTCCACAAACGATAAATGCTGGAGAGGCTGTGGAGAAAGGGAGCCCTCCTGTACTGCCAAAGGGAATGTACTTTGGTGCAGCCATTATGGAAAACATTATGGGGATTCCTCAAGAAACTAAAAATAGACTTGCCATATGATCCAGCAATCCCACTGCTGGGCATATAGCTGAGGGAACTCTAATTTGAAAAGATACAAGCATCCCAATGTTCATAGCAGCACTATTTACAATAGCTAAGACATGGACACAACCAAAATGTCCATCAGCAGAGGACTGGATAAAGAAGTGGTATAATTATACAATGGAATACTACTCAGCCATAAAAAGAATACAATAATGCCATTTGCAGCAACATGGATGGACCTGGAGATCATCATTCTAAGTAAAGCCAGAAAGAGAAAGAAAAATACCATATGATATCACTCATATGTGGACTCTAGAAAAAGAAAAAAGACACTAATGAAATCATCTACAAAACAGAAACAGACTGGCAGACACAGTAAACAATCTTACGGTTACCAGGGGAAAGGGGGTGGGAAGGGATACATTTGGGAGTTTGAGATTTGCAAATATTAACTACTAGATATAAAAATAGATAAAAACCAAATTTCTTCTGTATAGCACAGGGAACTATATTCAATATCTTGTAATAACCTTTAATGAAAATATGAAAACGAATATATATATAGATATATATATACACACACACACACACGATTGGGAAATTATGCTGTATCCCAGAAATTGACGCATTGTAACTGACTATACTTCAACAACAAAAAAAAGTGGTTCCACGATCCAATAGGATTAGCATCCTTATGAAAAGAGACACCCAAGAGAAGCACTATTCATTCTCTCTCTCCTTGTCTCTCTCTGTCTCTCCCTCCTCCTCCTCTGTCTCCTTGAGTGAGCACAGAAGAAAATCTAGGTGAAGACAGAAAGAGAAGTGGCTGTCTGCAAGCCAGGAAAAGGGCCCTCACCAGAAACCCAATCATCCAGAACCTTGATCTTGGACTTTCCAGCCTCCAGACCTGTGAAAATATAAATTTCTATTGTTTAAGCCCCCAAGTATTTTGTTAGGACAGCCCAGACTAAGACAGATGATACTCAGTCTAGTTTTGCAGATAAGAAACAAGTTCAGAAGGGTGACATGGAGTCTGAAAGGAGGAGTGAGCAATTAACAAGCAGCTGGGGGAAGGGATCACTTTTCATCCAGAAATGCAAGGGCTTAGAGGTACAGACAGAGGCTGGTGCAGTCAGAGAAGAGGGCAGTGCCTGGGGTGAGAACCTGGGGTGCCATTCTAAGGCAGCCATATGCCTTGAATAAAGAACTGGGGGCATATGGTTGGGCATGAATATGTAAATGAGCCTAATTCTGGGAAATCCAAATTATGAGGGTGCAGCCTGTACACCAGGAGTGGGTGGCACAGCCTCAAAAAACCTCAGTCCTGAGAACATCAGTGGAATCCATGTCACGAGCAATACCTGAGGTTCTTTTCACCGAGTGTGTATCACAAAGACAACCAAAGAGGTAGAAACGCTGAACCTCACGGCAGAATGAACAGAGTTTCCCGAGCCATAAATGCAGGATACAAAATCGGCTTCCCCTGTTCACAGCTAATCTCTCCTCCGTGGTAGCTAGGATATACCACGTCATTTTCCTCTTTCTTCCTTCTGTTTTCTGTGTTAACTGCAAATCTACTTTTTCATCTCAGGAAGATCCACAGGCAACATCCCAAGGTTCCACGCTGAAAAATGATGGAAAAAGGGTTCTTAGCATCTTTGTCCTCACTTGTCTTCCGTTGGCTGATTTTTCTTGTCCCCACTGGCCCTTTCTTTTTCTGCCCTTGAATAAATGTCTGAGGAACAACTAATCTCCCAAGCAAATGGGCACCTCTATTTCTCTGGGCAGCCATGGCGAGAATATTGAGTAGGGTTTAGAAGAAAAAGACATCTGGGCTATTTCCCTAAAAGCTTTCCCCAATACATAAAGTCCTTTAAATGATAATTGCTGACTTGGTCTGGTTATCAGCCACCCCCTCCACCTCCCCAGCAGCTGGGCTGAAAAGCTATCTGCCAACTGGCTCCATGGAGCTGGCTTTTAACTCTCCCAACCCCATCATAGCGCACGTTTGTCTATCCGTACATGCACACACGTACATGCACACACGTACATGCACACAGAGATATATTTAACAGTATGTGTGAGACAGAGGCCTCATAGAAAATGACCCCTGCCCTCAAGCAGGAAAGATGTGTGTAAATATGTGAAAAACTTATGTGCAAAGCAAGAGTTCATGGAAGAGAGAATCCTTCAGACAGAGGTAGCTCAATCTTTAGTAAAGCTATCTCCCCCTGACCCATTGGGTGCTCACGACAGCTCCAAGAAATGCTCGGGGCAAAGATGGCAGAGCAGAAGAGGATGGAGGGGTTAAGCTATTGGGATTCTCAGCAGAGAGAAGGAAGATTGGCCTCTCAAAGCCATCAGCAGGAACAATCGTTTCATCTGTAGTCTTGGCAGACTGTCTATGCCAAAGAAGCAGCTTAAACAAATAGACCTTGATTTTGATGGTTTTCAAATGGGAGCCGTGTTGATTTACCCAGTGTCTGACTTTTGCAAAAATCACACCATTTGAGCTCTAGAGCACGCTATTCCCCACCTCCTGGGGTAAATTGACTTTTAAATGAGTGCAGCGAAACACTCAAATCTCTGTAAGGAGGATGAAGGCTAAGAAGTGCGCCTCCCTCTTACACATTTGTGTCGGTTTCTGAAGAGGTTTCTGTGACTTTTCAGACCAGAAGTGTTGTACCTTTTCCTGCTGCAGCAGGCATGAGAAAGCCAGTGGGGCCAGATACTGGTGAGAGTGGACTCAAGGCTGAGAAGCTGGGACGGGGCTGGCTCTGATCAGGGACTCAAGGAATACCAAGAAAGCCACCCTTTCTCCTTACTTACCTTGCACACATAAAGAGGAGAGAGGAGTGTGCACTTGGAGCGCTGTCCCAGCCTGTGTCTGGGGACTCCTGGGCTCTCACAGCGAGGATGCTGAACACTGTATCCATCCATCGCCTATCCGTCATGGCTCCAACAAACATTTTGCTACTGAGTCCAAGCTCATACTGCTCATCACACAACAGGCCCATTAATCAAGGGACGAGTTGTTGGGGCAACGAATAGCGACTGTATTCAGAAAGCCAGCAGACTGAGAAGATGGTGGACTAGCGTCCCAAAGGGCCATATTACCTGAGTTAGAATTCAGGCTTCTTTTATACTAAAAGGAGAGGGAGTAAAGTCAAACATTTCCTGTTCCGGTCAGCCTCCAGAGGGGAGGTGTTAATTTCTTCCTTCTTGCAGTCATTCACAGGTGGGCCTGGTCAGGATGTTGCCTATGAGCTAAACAAAGATATTTTAGCTTAAGGCTCATTACCTGGGAGGCAGGTTCCCAGAGATGGGCCATTATGCATAATTTAAGCTTATAGGCAACATCCCTTTAGTGATTATCTTGTAGGAAAAGCAATAGAATACAAATGTTAAAGTAAAAGAAACACCCAATGTGGAATCAGATTTGTGCTTCCCTATTACAGTTTCTCAAGCCCCTCTCACCTCGCTCCCACTGCTACGCTGGATGCTGTTCAGGAGGAGCTAGAAATGAATCTGAAGAGGCTCCTGCCTTCACTGACCTCACACATACACACATAAGGACATGCTAGTGTGACACCCAAAGAGCAGTCTCTTGAAAACTTTTGGCTGGACCACTGGCTCCAAAGCTCGATGAAGTCAGACAGACCCAGGTTCGAAGCCCAGCTCTGCCACTTACTAGCTTTGTCTTCCTGAGCCTCAGATTTCTCAGTGGGAAGTTTCCAAGTCAAGTAAATGAAACTGAAAACAATCCTGGGTGTGACATCTCTGAGCACACGGTGGGTGTTCAATAAATGTTAGTTCCCAACCTCCGTCCTGTCAGCCTACAGGACGGAATGTGGAGACGGGGATAGAACAGGTCCTGACGGGGGCGAGAGAGACCCCTTCCCTTTACCTATGCATGTCACTCTTCTATTCTGTAAAGGAAGCTGCTGGCCTGCTCCTGCCCAAACCATTCCGCTTCCGTGCTCCTTCTGGCTTCTCAGCCTCGTATACCCGGCACCCAGATGCACAGTGGACATCAGTACGGGTTCCATTAAATAAGGTCCTTCCAGCTTCTCTCAAGTCAGCAGCAGCTCGGCATCTTCTGGTGGCTGTGTTGCAGCGTTCCCTTCTCAGCAATCCTCATGTGTTTTTCAGGATATAGGTTCACCTGCAATAAAGATCCAAACACATGAGAGAGCAATAAACTTCTACCATATAGACAATCAGGGAAGGCAGGGGTCTTCTGTGGGCATTTAGTGTCCTCAAGGCCTCACGCTAACAATTATATGTGGTATCTAACTTAATCCTCCTAACAATGCTGGAGGAGAGGGTGTTGTGGACTGAATGTTTGTATCCCCCCCAAAATTATGTTTTGAAGCCCTGATTCCCAGTGTGGCTGTATTTGGAGACGGGGTTTTTGAGGAAGTAACTAAGATTAAATGAAGTCATAAGGGTGGGGCCCTGATCCAACAAGGTTAGTGTCCTTATAAGAAAGGCACCAGGGGGCTCACACTCTCTGCCATGTGAGGACATACGAGGAGACTGTCTGCAAGCCAGGAAGGGAGCTCTCAGCAGGAACCAAACCAGCAGCACCTTCACCTTGGACTTCCAGCCTCTGTCTGTGAGAAAACAAATTTCTGTTGTGTTAAGCCACCCAGTCTACGGTATTTTGTTTTGGCAGTCCAAGCTGACCTAAGGCAGATGATAGTTACTCTAGTTTTACAAATAATAAAAATAGGTCCAAAAACGTGACATGACTTGCTGAGGTCACACAGCCACTCCCTGGTAAAGCCAGGATTTGGGCCTGGGTTTGCCACACCTCCCCAAGGCCAGTGCTCCCTGTACTGTCCCCAGCCACCTCTTTTGATGGCCACATGTTTTGTGGCGAAAATGTGGTTAGAATCCTGCAGTTTAATGTTTAGGGCAGGATTTCCCAAAGAGATTCCTGGGAGCCCTAACTCTGTAAGATGTTCTATGGATGCAGTTGTCTTCCAAATAAGATGCCCTAAAGTTCTAACTCCCAGGACCTTAGAATGTAACCTTATTTAGAAATAGGTCTTTGCAGATGTAACCAAGTTAAAATGAGGTCATTAGGGTGGGCCCTAATCCAAAATGATCAGTGTCCTTTTCAAAAGGGGAAATTTGGACAGAGACAGATGCACACAGAAGGAAGACAGTGTGAAGAGACACAGGGAGACCGCTATGAGGATGGAGGTTGGAGTGATGTCTCTACAGGCCAAAGAATACCCAAGGCTACTGGAAGCTGGGAGAGAGGCGTGCAACACATCCATCGCCACCACCTTCAGAGACAGCATGGCCCTGTCAACACCTTGATCTGCTCTCCTGTTGATGATGGGAAGGCAGTGGGAATTCAACTTGAACCCCACTCAGTCACTTCCATTTCAAACTTTGATTCTTTGGCATGTGTGCTCAAATTCAGGCTCTGCCTTCCCCTCTTCCTCCCTAGAAGGACATCCGTGTGCAGGGGCAGCTCAAGTCCAGGGGGACAAGGCGGGCACTTGTCTTCCCCATTCTCCAGCCATGCTGCCAGGTCCTCACACATCATGGCCTGGCATCCACGGGCTCCTCCTGTAGGCAGGCCACATGCTACATCGCCACCTCCTCCTCATCGCCCCACCCCCAAGCCTCTTCTGGTTTATGACCCTCCCATCGAGGCTGCTGGGCACCAGCGACCTCTCAAAGGCATCTCCCAAGCAATGCTGGGGTCTGTGGAATCCTGTGGGCAGACACCTCACCAAGGAAGATACAAAGACAGCAAAGCACGTGAGAAGATTCTCAACATCACACATCATTAGGGAATTGCAAATCAGAACTGCAGTGAGACGCCACTTCATACCTATCAGAACGGCCAAAATCCAAAGCACCGGTAACACCAAGTGCTGGCAAGGATGTGGTGTAGCCGGAATTCTTATTCATTGTTGCTGGGAATGCAAAGTGGTACAGACGCTTTGAAAGACTGTTTGGTGGTTTCTTACAAACTAAACATACTCCTGCCCCATGATCCAACAATTGTGCTCCTTGGTACTTACTCAAAAGGGTTGAAAACAAACATATAAACCTGCACATGGACATTTACAGCAGCCCTAGTCATAACTGCCGAAACTGGGGAACAACCCAGCTGTCCTTCAGTGGGTGAATGGATAAATCAACTGCGGTGCATCCAGACAATGGAGTATTATTCAGCACCAAAAAAAGAGCTATCAAGCCATAAAAAGACACGGAGGAAACTTAAATGCATATTAGTAAATTTAAAAAGTTCATCTGAAAAAACTACATACAGTATGATTCCAATTTATGACATTCTGGAAAAAAAAACAACAGTGGAGACAGTTAAAAGACCAGCGGTTGCAGGGGGTGGGGGGATGGGAGAGATGAACAGGCAGAGCACGGAGGGTTTTCAGGGAATTGAAAATACTCTGTGTGATATTATAGTGAAGGATATATGTCATTACACATTTATCCAGACAACAGAATGTGTACCAAGAGTGAATCCTAGGTAAACTATGAACTTTGGGTGATTACAGTGTGTCTATGTAGGTTTTCCTTGGCAAAAAAAATTAAAAAGTGTACCATTCTGCTGAGTGATGTTGACAATGGGAGAGGCTATGCATGTGTGGAGGCAGGGAGTATGGGGGAACTCTCTGTACCTTCCTCTGAATTTAGCTATAAACCTAAAATGCTCTAAAACATAAAGTCTTTAAAAAAAATAGGGTCTATGAAAGTAAATAAATAAATCAGCAAACCTGGAATTGATACAGGGCATCTATGAAAAGCCTGCATACTTAATGGTACTTTACTTAATGGTAAAGGGCTGAATGCTTTCTCCCAAGGATTGAAAACAAGGTGAGGATGTCCACTGCCACTACTCATATACAGTGAGATCCGAGCCAGTGCAATGAGGAAGGAGGAGGAGAAGGAGGAGGATGGGGAGGAAAAAGTCGTACAAATAGGAAGAAAGTAAACTGCCGTTATTCACAGATGACAGGACTGTCTACGTAGAAAACTAAATAATCTACAACAAAAGCTACCAGCTTAGCAAGACCACAGGAAACAAGCTCAATATACAAAAAGTCAGCTGTATTTCTACATACAAGCAACAAACGATTGGAAATAAGAATATATATGCATATATAGCATAAACATAAGTATTTAGAATAGTATCAGAAGCATGAAATACTTAGTGATAAAACTTTTAAAATACGTAGTTTTCTATATGCTGAAAACCACAAAACACTGATAAGTGAAATCAAGGAGAACCTGAATAAGTGGGGAGATATACCATGTTTATGGATCAGAAGCTTCAGTACTGTTAATAAGTCAGTTCTCCTAAAATTGATCTATCTATGTAGATTCTGAGTGATGCTAATACAAATCCCAGAAGGCTCTTGCTGTAGAAATCAACCAACAACTTGTTTGGAAATGCAAAAAATAAAATAAAGTAAAACAAAATAGTCTAACAATATTGAGAAAGAAGAATAAAGTAGGAGGAATCACACTATTGGATTTTAGGACAATATAAAGTCACAGGAGTCAAGACAATGCGGTATCAATGAAAGAAAAGGCATGTGGATCAATGGAACAAAACAAAGAATCCAGGAGAAATACACACGGATGGTCCATTGATGTTTTACTGAAGTGAAGAGGTAATTTGTGGAGAAAGATTAGTCTTTTCAACAAATGGTGCACAAACAATTGGATATCCATACACACACAAAAATGAGAACCTCAACCATCCCTCACACTGGATACAAAACTTAACTCAAAATACATCATAGACTTAAGTGCAAAACCCCAAACTGTAAAACTCTGAGAAGAAAAGATAAAAGAAAACCTTTTAGACCTGAGAATTAGGCAAGGTTTTTTTAGATAAGACACAAAAAGCGGTAGTAATCAAAACAGGAAAAAAATTAAACAGCTCTTTGAAAGACACTTTAAAAGTGAAAAAGCAAACCATCAATTGGGGAAAATATGATATGGTATGATAAAAAAATCCAAAATATTTCTAAAATCTCAAAATTCACCAAAACAAGCCCGTTTTAAAATCAGGCAAAATATCTGAACGCTTAAGTGAAGAAGACATATGGATGGTAAATAGCACGTGAAAAGATGTTCAGCGTCATTAGTCATTATGACATACCAATTAACCCCACGAGATACCACCATGCTCTATAAGAAAGGCTAAAATCAATAGATAGATAGATAGACAATATTAAGTACTCAAAAAGATACAGACCAATTAAAACTCTCATGCACAGTTTGGGAGTTTCTCAAAAAGTTCAACACACCCCCACCATATGATCCACATCTAAGTACTTACCTAAGAGAAATATAAGCACATGTTGGTAGAAGGAGTTGTACCTGAATGTTCATAGAAGCTGTATTGGTAAGAGCTCCAAACTGGAAATAACCCAGGTGTTCTTTAACGGGTGAATTGATAAATAGTCTTAGGTTCAAGCCAAGACTCAGCAATAAAAAAGAATGAACTACTGACACACCCAATGGCATGAATGATTCTTTCAAAGCATTATGCTAAGAGAAAGAAGCCCAGTGCAAAAAGCTACTATATGACTTCATTTAAAAGCCATTCGGAAAAGGGCAAAACTCTAAGAAATCCAGAGGCTGCCAGGGGCTGAGGGTGGGAGGAGTGACTGACTTCAAAAGGGACAAGAGGAAAAAGAGGAAACTTTGGGGAATGAAGCAAATATTGTCTGGATCATGATGATATTTACCCAACTATGCACATTTGGCAAATATCACAGAACTGTAAACCTGAATTTTATGATACATCAATTACATTGTAGAACAAACTTGACTTAAAATTTTTATCACGATTACACATTCAGATAATGTTCTCTCTTTTTAAGCAGAAATGTACCATTAAAAGGGAGAAAAGAAGCATCATTTATGCAAATTTCTTCTGATTAATACATGACTAAATACCATATTTTTGCACAGAGAGAGCTATAAATAAAGACATATATCACACTCACATGGTACGTTGTGTATGTGGCACCTGACAGGGAACGTTCAGAGTCGCTGCTCCTGTAATAGTCCCTGCACAGAATCGAGCTGAGGAAAGTGGTGGTGAGTATTAATTCTTGCTTCTCACCCATGTCCCTCGCCGCGGCAGGGGAGGTAGGCGCCACCACTGTTATTACTCTCTGCACGTCATAAATGCAAAGATGAAGTTAAAGACTTTGCTAAAGGTCACATGGCAGGTCGGTGGCAAACCCTGAACTTGGATCCACGTCTTTTTACCATAGGGAAAAATTGTAAATTTTCCTTAATCTTCTCCCCAGAGATGACAAAGAGAAAAATGTCAGGCAGGAATGATGGGTGGCAGCCTAGCTGAGGGGAAAATCCATGAGCAGGAAGAAAACCTGTTTACAGACCTGCAGGCTATTCTGAGTGCTTTCCACAGACCAGCTCAGTGATGTGACCACGCCGCCCACGTCTCTGCTCGGCGCCTGCCAGGTGGCGTTGGCCCAGGTGACAGGAGCGGGGACACACCAGATGCTGTGCGTCTGTTCCTTCTTGGCTCTGACCGGTTGTGAGGTGGAAACAGCCCCTCTGGGGACAGGCGACCTGGACCCCAATC